TACGCTATTAGTGGGGATTAAATTTTGCTTGGACGTTTACCAAGTGTCTGTTTGTGTTGAGCGCCTGACAGGCTGCTCCATAATCTCTCTCGATTGTAACAGTTTCTAGTGCATTTTTAAATTATCATATAGTGGATTTTTATATCAGTGTATTCATCATTTGACAGTGTATGTGGTGATGTAGGATTTGTACAAAGACAGTCAGTATTTTCAACGAAATTCTCAGTTTTCAATTCGCCATGATTGACTTGGTATTTTTCTATTGGACATTTTTTCTTCTTCTGGGGTCTACACTCCGTCAACCCTCGAACGTTTACAACAACAAAAGAAATTTTTTCTCCTGAGTGTCTCGTGAAAACTGTTGTCCGTGTCGTTTCCAACTCTGTGCTCGGGAACAAATGTGTGAGTACGTGTGTTTCTCCCAGCTCTTGTTCGTGTGTTATACCAGTGAAGTGGAAAAAAACGAGAAGAAAGAAAAGAGGTGGACGACGAAAACAAAGGCAAACCCCTGGGGGGGGGGGGGGGGGGGGGGGCTCTCGTGGCCTAGAGGTTAAGGTGTTGGCCTCTCATTCAAAGGTCCCGGGTTCGATTCCGGGTAGCGACCAAAAAATTTTCTTCTCTAAAATTGTCTCCTTTCACATCCTTTCCTGATCTCTAACAATGTTCTGTTGTCTGCTTTCATTTCCACTTTCTGCCCCCACCCCCTCACCTCCTTTGCCCCCTCCTCTGGGCTCCTGACTCTTTCTGCAGCCTTTCTACTGCTACTCCTTGGCTCCTCCTAACTGCTGCTTTTCTAGTGACCTTTGAGTCAGAAGTACTTGTTCCTTGGAACGCTGTCTTTGTTACAAGTGTCTGGGACAGTTTAGGGGGGAGAAGATACCGGTATATTGTTGGAAGAAAGTTGTGGATGAAAGCTCTTATGACATTTGTATGTGCACTTAACTGTGATAGTTAGGTTGTAACTAGGGGTCATATTTTTCAGGGGGGGAAAGAAAATATATTTTTCACTGAAATCCGTTTTCTATAAACCCCATTTTCACATTTCTGTTACCAAAGAGTGCTCAGGGCTATCCATCGTGTTGAATTTGACGGAATCGTTAACAAATGATTTGTATTCAATTTTACAAAAAAATATGATCGTAAAATCCCTGATTCCGATTTTTTAAAAAAGTTTCCGTTTCCCTAACCCACTGCCAACCTTTCTGGTAAATAAGGGGAGAAAAACCACCTGACTGGGACAGTCTACGTTAGGGGCAGTTGTCTAACTTTATATTCTTCTATTGTCGTCTTCGTGGGTGGTTGGTGGGTGCTCTGGTGTGGTTTGCTCCTTCTTTCCTATCATTTGAACATCTATCGTCTTTATCTCCCCTCCTTCTTTTTTGTGTTTGTTACTCGCTTGTAACACCTCTAGTCTTCGGCACTTTTACGACCTCTTCGGCACTTTTACGACCTTTTTGTGTTGCAAGTGCCGTAAAACACTTACTAAAACTAAAAAACTAAAAAAAACTTGTCTTCTTTAGTAAATACACTGTCTGTGTAAGAGCCACCCTTACCACAGGTTTGAAGTCAATTTGGAAAAAAGTGTTCACTTGTGAAAGCACATCATGTTTTCTTTCTTTCTTACTTTCAGAGGACCAAGAAGATTTTCTCACAAGAAATCAAATGTGGCGTGAGAAAAAGACAGGTATGTAGCCAAGTGTTGAACCCTAACACTGATTTTGTAAGAGTTGGTACAACCTACTTTACTTTTTACTTTTGTGGGTGGTTGGCGGATGTTCTGATGTGGTTTGCTCCCTTTTTCCTATCAAACATCTATCGTCTTTATCTCCCTTCCTTCTATTTTGTGTTTGTTGCTCTCTTGTAACAACTCTAGTCTTCGGCACTTATACGACCTTATTGTGTTGCAAGTGCCGTAAAACTCTTACTAAAACTTTAAACTTTAAACTTTTTCATCCTCTGTTGCCGTTAAGTGTCATGGGGAGATGCAGTTTTCTATGGTAGGCCAGTTCCGCAGCTCTTTCAATTTTGAATATTATGTTTTCTCAGAGTTTCTATGACATCCTTGATCCACCTTTTGCTTGGCCCTCCTCTTCCTTTATAGCCTGAGTGCTTGATGTAGTAGGTTCTCGAGGCGGGCTGGCCAGATGACATACGTAACAAGTGGCCAGACCATTTTATTCTGTTTTTCTATGTAACGCAGGCAGGACTCAGTGCCAATAGCTGCTCTTACTTCTTCATTTCTCTGCCTGTCTCGCCCTGTGATGTTAAAGAGTTTTGCAGGGACATTTCATTCCGCATGCAGTGATTTTGCTGTCATAGGTTTTACTTAATGTCCAGGTCAAGAGTTGGTACAAATTTGTTGTAAATTTTTTTAAAATATGGCAGGTGTTGCTGATTGTACAAATGTGTTGTGAATTTGTCACAAACGCTCGGTGTTGGGAATTGGTAAAAATATGTCGGGTGTGGTAAATTGGTACAAATATGTCGGGTGTGGAAAATT